GGTTTGCGGCAGCGGCCGGGTAGAGGAGGAAGGGGAGGGGGGAGGCAAGTGAGATGGGCGGATGATGAGGACGACGACAGCTATGACGACGATGAGAGCGATGGGTGAGATTTTTGTTTGGGTCGAGCGAGGCACGAGCATTGAGAACACACCGGGACACGGCGGGTCTCATACCGAACAGCAGCAGCAGTAGCGACGAACATACCTACCCGTCGACTTGTAAGTGTACGTGATTGGACAAATACCCGCTGCAATTGTGTGCCTCTGCTGGATTGTTCGAACTCTACCACCAATCACTCTTTCCCATCGTTACATGCCGGGAAATCTTGTTGTCTGCACCCGATGTGTGTTCCACAACCTCTCTTGCGAAAAAAAACGGACGTCAGATACGACTCTTACTCCGATGAAGACGTCGACGATCTGTCCGAGGAGGAGTTCTCGTACGGGGGGAGACCTGCCGGGGAAAGGGGCGCGAGAGCAAGCGGGAGGGGGAGCAGCAGAAAGGGGCCGGCGGCGGCGGCAGCGGCGGCGGCGGCAGCGGCAAGGGCCAACAACGACGACGACTACCTCAGCGACGACGAGGGCCTCTACGATAGCGACGACCTTGACGGGGAGGGGGGCGATGACTCTTACGACGGCTCCTACGATAAAGACGATGACGACAACGACTCCTTCGGGGCGGATCCTTTCGACGATGATTACAGCAACGCTCGCGCCAGCAGCGGCCGCCGCCCGCCGCCGCCCGGCAGGAGGGGCGAGGGAGGGCAACGGAGGGGAGGGGGGCCGTCCCGCGGCATGCGCGGGCGCGGGAGGAGGGGGCCGCCGCCGCCGGCGCGGATGGAGCGGCTTAAGGCGAAGCTGGCGGACGCCCAGGTGGGGCTCAAGACCAAGATGACGGGCGTAACCCACAAGGGGGCGAAGGTCATGCGCGAGCTCAAGGTGCGGCCGACAGTCCAGAGTAAAGAGTACCACGGGTGCAGTTTGTTGGTGTGTTGAGAAAGGTTCTTGCTCATTTTTTCCTCTTTCGATAGGACCGGCGTCCTACGATTTGATGACAAATCGAGGGAATACTGTTGTGGAGGGCCTTATCATTGACGTTGCGTACTTGGCCGCCTCCCTCACCCGGCGGCGTGTCATAGCGCTGTTTCGACAAGGCACACATGGCGCGGAAGAAGGGCAGGAGGAGAAGGTCGGGTTGGCGGTTGGACTTGCTTTGTGTGCCGGCCGTTGCCTCGTTGGGAGCTTTGTACGTTTGGCAGCGTCACATGGTCGATGTCTTTCGGTTGTATTCTTCTGCCATCCGGGTGTGTGCATACCTACCTGGTACCGGGCTCTTGGTCTTGATGTGTTGCGTTGACCGGTTGATTCAAGAGAACACGCAAATCTGGAATGGGACAACAGCAGCAGCGCCGTCCGTGGGCGTGGGCGTGATTCGCAACAAGCCTTTCCCCGCAAGAATGCCAACCCGCATGGGAGACGCTCGGCGGACATTGCACACCCACCCGCATCTTTCCCGCCGCTTTGTATGTGCTTCCGCATCTCTTTTGTCTGTGTATGCCAGGGGAGTATCTCCTCCGACCTCGAGAAGACTCTGATCAAGGCCACCAGGCCCGACAACGACCCGGCGAAGCGGAAGCACGTGAACCTCCTCCTGCAGGCCGCCGAGCACGCCTTCCCCGTCTACATGAACCCCAAGGTGTGTAAAACGCCTGCTGGGTCTACATCTTATACATGCAACCGCGGCAAGATGGTTGTAGCGCCCATTCGAGAGATGAAACGCTACTGCTATACCACATCGTATTCGTTGACGCATGCGCGCCAAACCGCTTTGTTTGGACCTTTTGTGCAAAACGCTTGGTTGTTCACGCACCCCCCCCCACTCTCCTCTCCCTCTCATTATCGCCGTCCCCCCCTCTCTCTCTACCCTCTTTCCCTCTCTCTCAACCAACAACACCGATTTCCGAAAAACGCCTCCTTAACACACAACCACACAGGACGGCGGCCAGGCGGCTTGGAAGGAAGGCCCCTACTGGATGACCCTGCACAAGCTCTGGAGGAGGATGGCCGAGAGGGACTACCGCACCGCCTCCAAGGCCGTCTACGTGCTGCACCGCCTTGCCAGGGGAACCACCGCCGAGAGCTGGGGCTACTTCCGGTCGACGCTGCAGGAGATGCGCCGCGACGAGGACAAGGGCACCAAGAGCCGCTACTTCAGCCGCAGAGTCATCAGGTGCGCTTGTTTTGGAGGTGGCAGTGTTGTCCTCGTGAGCTTGTGGTGTTTGGTTCTCTTGTGTTCTGCCTAGAAGGACGATTACGGTGTCATCGATAGTCGCTTCTTCTTCAGCCGCGAAAGTCTCGTCAATATGTGGCTGTTCGACCATGCCTTCCCATGTAGTGTCGTGGTCGTCGTCGTATGCGCTGTCGGCGTGTGGTCGTGTTCTCTTGGAGAAGGCGAGACCGTCGAGGGCACCGGGTGCTCAGGAGGCGTAGACAGGGCTGCAAAACCTGCTTGTTGCGTGTGCGAACATGGTTCGTCGGCTTCCGTTCCGCGTGTTGGTCTTGTGGTGGAAAGTCGTCGCACGTATATTCGCCGGCGCCGCTTCGTCCCGTCGGACACGCGAGCGCTCACGGCGTGTGTGGCCATGGTGGGCAAACGAATGACACGCGTCGCACGAGAAGAGCTCGTTCTGCGTGTGCCATGCATACCTCATACCAAACTCTTTGCTACTGGAAGAAACAGCCGGCTCATCCTCCCCCCACGCACCCACCTCCCCACCCTCTCAGCAACGTAGACGATGACGGGCGGCCCTTCTCGGAGTGGCTGGACGCCTACGCGGAGTTCGTGCTGCTGCGGCTGCAGTCGTTCTCGCCTGAGCTGGGCGAGCTAGCGGCCATCGATGCGGAGACGCCACACGAGAAGGCTTCCCGGTCCTTGGAGAAGGTGTGAGTGTGGGGGGGTGTACTTGTGTAAACGCATGCCGTAGTCGGGTAGGTCTCGCATGCCGGAACGGAGCGATATGTATGCCGGGTTTTCGCCGGCTCAGGCTATTGCAACGTCTCACAACCAGAAGCTGGTCATTATCCTTCCATTTGCTGCATCGATCCAGATTTGCCGCGAGTTGATTGGACGCCTCGGCTAACCAAACGTTTCACATTCGGCAGGGGGGGAGGGGGG